CTATGGTCTATTCTATAGTCCAGACTAAAGTATATTCTATAGTCCAGACTATAGTGTATTCTATAGTCCACACTATAGTATATTCTATAGTCCACACTATAGTCTATTCTATAGTCCACACTATAGTCTATTCTATAGTCCAGACTAAAGTCTATTCTATAGTCCAGACTATAGTCTATTCTATAGTCCAGACTATAGTCTATTCTATAGTTCAGACTATAGTCTATTCTATAGACCAGACTATAGTCTATTCTATAGACCAGACTATAGTGTATTCTATAATCCAGACTATAGTGTATTCTATAGTCCAGACTATAGTGTATTCTATAGTCCACACTATAGTCTATTCTATAGTCCAGACTATAGTCTATTCTATAGACAAGACTATAGTCTATTCTATAGTCCAGACTATAGTCTATTATATAGTCCAGACTATAGTCTATTCTATAGTCCAGACTATAGTCTATTATATAGTCCAGACTATAGTCTATTCTATAGTCCAGACTATAGTCTATTCTATAGTCCAGACTATAGTCTATTCTATAGTCCAGACTATAGTCTATTCTATAGTCCAGACTATAGTCTATTCTATAGTCCAGACTATAGTCTATTCTATGGTCCAGACTATAGTGTAGTCTATAGTCCACAGTATAGTTTATTCTATAGTCCAGACTATAGTTTATTCTATAGCTCAGACTATATTCTAGTCTATAGTCCAGACTATAGTCTATTCTATAGTCCAGGCTATAGTCCATTCTATAGTTCAGACTATAGTCTATTCTATAGTCCAGACTATATGTAGTTTATTCTATAGTCCAGACTATAGTCTATTCTATAGTCCAGACTATAGTCTATTCTATAGTCCAGACTATAGTCTATTCTATAGTCCAGACTATAGTCTATTCTATAGTCCAGACTATAGTCTATTCTATAGTCCAGACTATAGTCTATTCTATAGTCCAGACTATAGTCTATTCTATAGTCTATTCTATAGTCCAGACTATAGTTTGCTCTATAGTCCAGACTATAGTCTATTCTATAGTGTAGACTATAATATTCTATAGTCCAGACTAAAGTCTATTCTATTCCATAGTACATATTATAGTATATTTTACGGTCCGTAGTTTATTTTACTGTCCAAATTTTAGTCTATTTTATATTCCGGACTTATATATGTTCTTATGTTCGGAGTATTTGAATCAAAGAAGAGTTTTTTTAACTTCGATCGAAACTCTTTATGTAGTTCATCATTTTCCTTTATTTCTAGCTAAAACTTGACATAGACATTTTGTAAAAAAAACTTAGAAAATAATAAAAATATTTGAAGCAGACTCACGAATTTCTAACCGATTTCTCTAAAGCTCTTCCCCCAACATGCATATGACAAATCAATTTATTTACTCACGAGAGCGAAGACGTTTCGGTAGACAATGCATGTTTAGTGATCGCACCCAAGCAATGTTGAGTATACATCCCAGTCAAAGATTACGTCTGCATTATATACTACGTAATCCGGTAAATACCGCCACCCAGTTAAGTGATCAGAAAGCTTTAAGTGTAATGGTCACGGAAAATGTAGCCTTTGCTGAACATGGCATGTATCATTACGAGGGCGGCTGGCCCAAAGAGGTTAATCTTAATGATGAGGAGTCTACGCTAAGGCATAGGAAAAAGATTGAACGTGAGGATAACTGGGGTAGTCAGGTGACCAATTTGATAGCTCAATCCACGGATATGGTGGAAATAAATAATACTATAAATATATATCAAGAATTTTTTACCGATTTGTCTGGTGAGCTGTGTGAAGATATCAAGGAGCTATTTGAGGCGAGACAAAAGAATATATTTCATGATCCGGTAGTGGCTTTGCCAAGACCTATAAGTGTAATAGATTGGGCCCCTAGTGATATCAGAAGATTTCTAGTATTACACACTAATATACCTCTCAAGAGAGAGGAGGCAGGAGAAGAGGGGAAGGAGAAAAAGGAAAGTACTTTTAATAATTTCTATATATGGGATTTGGAAAATCCTCTTAAACCTATGGTGGTGTTCAATTGCCATGAGGTAGTTTTGAAGACCTATTTCTGTCCCAAAGATGAGAATTGGTTGGCGGGTGGATTATGGTCGGGTAAAGTTTGTGTTTGGGATGCCCGTACTGGCGATATGCCTGTAAGCATTTGCCCTTTAGAGGCCGCTCATCGGGAAGCTGTACCGGCCGTTTGTTGGGTTCATTCTAAAACCAATACAGAATTTTACACTGGTTCCTATGATGGTTCTGTAAAATATTGGGATGGTCGTGATTTAGATATTCCTTTGCAGGAAATTCTATTAGATCCTGTAATGACAGATGAACAATCGCGAGATCGTGCTCAGGGTGTAACGGTATTGGAATTTGAATACACTATACCGGTACGTTTTATAGCGGGTAGTGATATGGGCAGCATTTTTGTGGGCAATCGTAAAGGTATGACTCCCATGGAAACTTGGGCGGCTGGAAATTATCGTATATTTTGTGGACCCATTAGAACTATTGAGAGGAATCCATTTTTTGTTAAAAATTTCCTGATAACTGGGGATTGGTGCGTTAAAGTTTGGGCGGAGGAATGCAAGGGCTCACCCACTACTTTGTTGATGAAAAAGAAAAGTCAAATACTCTGTGGCACTTGGAGCACCATGCGTTGTTCCCTCTTTGTTACGGGTGATATGAGTGGAGAATTGGATTTCTGGGATTTATTGCTGCATCAACGTAGACCCATATTTTCCTTGAAGTTTTCAAGCCCTATTATGCATGCGAAATTTAGAAGTGATGGTGAATATCTGGCAGTATGTTTGGCCAATGGTGATGTTCAGTTATTGGAGTTGGATGCAGCTTTGAAGCATAGCACGAGTAAGGATAAGGCTTTGATAGCGGCGGTAAGTAGAGAGGGTTAGATCTTGATCTGCTTTGCAAGACTATAGACTAGACAATAGACAAGACTATATACTATCGACTAGACTGGACTATAGACTAGACTGGACTATAGACTAGACTATAGACTAGACAATAGACTAGACAATAGAGTAGACTATAGACTAGACTATAGACTAGACTATAGACTAGACTATAGACTAGACTATAGACCAGACTATAGACTAGACTATAGACTAGACTATAGACTAGACTATAGACTATACTATAGACTATACTATAGACTAGACTATAGACTAGACTATAGACTAGATTATAGACTAGACTAGACTATAGACTAGACTATAGACTAGACTATAGACTAGACTATAGACTAGACTATAGACTAGACTATAGACTAGGCTATAGACTAGGCTAGACTAGACTATAGACTAGACTATAGACTAGACTATAGACTAGGCTATAGACTAGACTATAGACTAGACTATAGACTAGACTATAGACTAGACTATAGACTAGACTATAGACTAGACTATAGACTAGACTATAGACTAGACTATAGACTAGACTATAGACTAGACTATAGACTAGACTATAGACTAGACTATAGACTAGACTATAGACTAGACTATAGACTAGACTATAGACTAGACTATAGACTAGACTATAGACTAGACTATAGACTAGACTATAGACTAGACTATAGACTAGACTATAGACTAGACTATAGACTAGACTATAGACTAGACTATAGACTAGACTATAGACTAGACTATAGACTAGACTATAGACTAGACTATAGACTAGACTATAGACTAGACTAGACTAGACTATAGACTAGACTATAGACTAGACTATAGACTAGACTATAGACTAGACTAGACTATAGACTAGACTAGACTATAGACTAGACTATAGACTAGACTAGACTATAGACTAGACTAGACTATAGACTAGACTAGACTATAGACTAGACTAGACTATAGACTAGACTAGACTATAGACTAGACTATAGACTAGACTATAGACTAGACTATAGACTAGACTATAGACTAGACTATAGACTAGACTATAGACTAGACTATAGACTAGACTATAGACTAGACTATAGACTAGACTATAGACTAGACTATAGACTAGACTATAGACTAGACTATAGACTAGACTATAGACTAGACTATAGACTAGACTAGATAGACTATAGACTAGACTATAGACTAGACTATAGACTAGACTATAGACTAGAATATAGACTAGACTATAGACTAGACTATAGACTAGACTATAGACTAGACTATAGACTAGACTATAGACTAGACTATAGACTAGACTATAGACTAGACTATAGACTAGACTATAGACTAGACTATAGACTAGACTATAGACTAGACTATAGACTAGACTATAGACTAGACTATAGACTAGACTATAGACTAGACTATAGACTAGACTATAGACTAGACTATAGACTAGACTATAGACTAGACTATAGACTAGACTATAGACTAGACTATAGACTAGACTATAGACTAGACTATAGACTAGACTATAGACTAGACTATAGACTAGACTATAGACTAGACTATAGACTAGACTATAGACTAGACTATAGACTATACTATATATAATTTAGACTAATCTATACACTAGACTATAGACCACATTAACTTCAATATGTTTCTCTTTTCTCCAAACGTCTACGATCTAGATGTTTGAACGAGAACAATTACGCTGCAAACTCTTAGAGGGACGAGTCGAAGAAATGAAATTGAAAAAACGCACTACAGAAGCCGATCTCGAAAGGAAAACTCTTGAAGAATCCCAACGCCAACCGGCCGACGAAACACTTGACCCCGATAATCCCGAAGAATTTTTACGTATTATTTCCTCTGATATAGAATTTAGAGAGGGCCTCAACAATTTCCAAGATCTTGTTATAAAAGTGGAAAAGAAACGTCAAGATAGGCAATACATTATGGAAAGAACGGAATTCGAGTTTGATCAACAAATAACAAATACACAATTTGAGGACCACGAAAACATAAATGATGAAAACAAAGATACCACTAATATATAACTTAATTAAATTTTTATTTGTTTTAAACATTTCTTTAAAATGCTGAAATATATTTGGATAATTCTTCTATATCTATTGGTCTCATAGCTATAACTATAACCACCAATTTACGTCTTAACATATTGGGTTTCTTAATCAAAAGTTTAACTTCATAATGATTCATTAAGAAGGACCATTTTAATTTATCCAATTCTTTTTCGTTTAACGAACGATATTGTGTGGGATTTAGGTTTAAAATACTTTCAGCAGTTTTATCAGTTAAACGGGCCTCCACTAACGTACCCGTTTGATCACTGAGATGTACATTTATATTGAAAAAATATTCAAAATTTTCTTCTGAAGAGTTAATGGAAAAGGCCATTTGACATTGTTCCATTTGACAAAGGGTTTTATTCCAGGGTATTAACCGACTACAGGATTTGCTGGAATAGAGAACTTGATAATAGTGATTCTTTATTTTCAAGATTGCTTAAATATTTCTTACCATTTTTTGCTTAAAACAAAACTTTGTAGATCCAAATTCATGTGTGTGATCATGGCAAATAAAACGGCAGTAAATTGATCGTTTGTATCACTTAATTGACCCTCTGCTCGGGTATAAATTTGTCGTACGGTCATTATGGTTTGTATTTGATCAGCTGGAAGGGAAGGAATTATTAGCTTTAATTGTAGTGTAAACTATATAGTCCTGAATATAGTTTATTCGATAGTCCAGACTATAGTCTATTCTATAATTCAGACTATAGTCTATTCTATAGTCCAGACTATAGTCTATTATATAGTCCAGACTATAGTCTATTCTATAGTCCAGACTAAAGTCTATTCTATAGTCCAGTCTATAGTCTATTCTATAGTCCAGACTATAGTATATTCTATAGTCCAGACTATAGTCTATTCTATAGTCCAGACTATGGTCTATTCTATAGTCCAGACTATAGTATATTCTATAGTCCAGACTATAGTATATTCTATAGTCCAGACTATTGCCTATTCTGTAGTCCAGACTATAGTCTATTCTATAATTCAGACTATAGTCTATTCTATAGTCCAGACTATAGTCTATTTTATAGTTCAGACTATAGTCTATTTTATAGTCCAGACTATAGTCTATTCTATAGTCCAGACTATAGTCTATTCTATAGTCCAGACTATAGTCTATTCTATAGTCCAGACTATAGTCTATTCTATAGTCCAGACTATAGTCTATTCTATAGTCCAGACTATAGTCTATTCTTTAGTCCAGACTATAGTCTATTCTATAGTCCAGACTATAGTCTATTCTATAGTCCAGACTATAGTCTATTCTATAGTCCAGACTATAGTCTATTCTATAGTCCAGACTATAGTCTATTCTATAGTCCAGACTATAGTCTATACTATAGTCCAGACTATAGTATATTTTATAGTCCAGACTATAGTATATTTTATAGTCCAGACTATAGTCTATTCTATAGTCCAGACTATAGTCTATTCTATAGTCAAGAATATAGTCTGTTCTATAGTCCAGAATATAGTCTGTTCTATAGTCCAGACTATAGTCTGTTCTATAGTCCAGACTATAGTCTGTTCTATAGTCCAGACTATAGTCTATTCTATAGTCTATTCTATAGTCCAGACTATAGTCTATTCTATAGTACAGACTATGGTCTATTCTATAGTCTATTCTATAGTCCAGACTATAGTATATTCTATAGTCAAGACTATAGCCTATTCTATTCTAGACTATAGTCTATTCTACAATCCAGACTATGGTCTATACTATAGTCCAGACTATAGTCTATTCTATAGTCCAGACTATAGTCTATTCTATAGTCCAGACTATAGTCTATTCTATAGTCCAGATTATAGTCTATTCTATAATTCAGACTATAGTCTATTCTACAGTCTAGACTATAGTCCAGACTATAGTCTATTCTATAGTCCAGACTATAGTCTATTCTATAGTCCAGACTATAGTCTATTCTATAGTCCAGACTATAGTCTATTCTATAGTCCAGACTATAGTCTATTCTATAGTCTAATCTATAGTCTATTCTATAGTCCAGACTATAGTCTATTCTATAGTCCAGACTATAGTCTATTCTATAGTCCAGACTATAGTCTATTCTATAGTCCAGTCTATAGTCTATTCTATAGTCCAGACTATAGTCTATTCTATAGTCCAGACTATAGTCTATTCTATAGTCCAGACTATAGTCTATTCTATAGTCCAGACTATAGTCTATTCTATAGTCCAGACTATAGTCTATTCTATAGTCCAGAATATAGTCTGTTCTATAGTCCAGAATATAGTCTGTTCTATAGTCCAGACTATAGTCTGTTCTATAGTCCAGACTATAGTCTGTTCTATAGTCCAGACTATAGTCTGTTCTATAGTCCAGACTATAGTCTATTCTATAGTCTATTCTATAGTCCAGACTATAGTCTATTCTATAGTACAGACTATGGTCTATTCTATAGTCTATTCTATAGTCCAGACTATAGTATATTCTATAGTCAAGACTATAGCCTATTCTATTCTAGACTATAGTCTATTCTACAATCCAGACTATGGTCTATACTATAGTCCAGACTATAGTCTATTCTATAGTCCAGACTATAGTCTATTCTATAGTCCAGACTATAGTCTATTCTATAGTCCAGATTATAGTCTATTCTATAATTCAGACTATAGTCTATTCTACAGTCTAGACTATAGTCCAGACTATAGTCTATTCTATAGTCCAGACTATAGTCTATTCTATAGTCCAGACTATAGTCTATTCTATAGTCTAATCTATAGTCCAGACTATAATCTATTCTATATTCCAGACTATAGTCTATTCTATAGTCCAGACTATAGTCTATTCTGTAGTCCAGACTATAGTCTATTCTATAGTCCAGACTATAGTCTATTCTATAGTCCAGACTGTAGTCTATTCTATAGTCCAGACTATAGTATATTCTAGTCCAGACTATAGTATATTTATAGTCCAGACTATAGTTTATTCTATAGTCTATTCTATAGTCCAGTCTATAGTCCATTCAATAGCCTAGTTTATGCTTTAAATTTTGCCCTTACCTTTTGGCAAAGCATCCGTACTTTGCTGAGCAAACATTTCGAATGCTGCCTTAGGCATAGACTCAGCATATTCCATTAACATTTGCGTCTCCTGGCCCATAGGATTTTCATAGATTAAACTTCTCGAAGTAAAGCTTAAAATGCAACTCTTATAGAATTCGGAATAGCTGACTTTAATATCTATTAAATGTAAGACCGTCTTTAAAGGCTGCCACAATTTTCGAGCTCTTTCTATCCAATCCGGATGCCAAATGGTTAATATTAAGCCACTGGATAAACTTTGATCAAACACTATAAGTTCCAAACATTGACGCACTTTGCCATCTTTAGCTGCCTTCAGCTCACGCAAAGGTCTTAGTAAACCTACTAAAACCAAAAAATCCATATGCATATCAACGGCATGAGAATCACGAAAAGATTTTTTAACATCGGCCAGATTAAGTACAGAATATAAAGGTTTATGCGAAAGGCGCCATAATTGTTTAACATCTTTATAGTTTTCTAGATCATGATAATTATGTTTTTCCATAAAACCTTGACCATCGTTTAGGACCAGGGTTATGGGTAAAGTGGCCACTGGTTGATATCTAGCTTGTAGAGAATTTGGACCCTCAATTTTTATATTATTTACTTTGCAACAAATAACATCCACTATATCACCTATTTGAATTTTTTCATTGTATTCTTCTATTCTCTGCCGAGGACCCCAACATTTACAATTGACCACATGATGTTTGGAATCACGCAAAGTAAAATTCATGACACCCTTATATTGGGTATCATTTTTGGCCAGAAATATATTGGGTTCGGTTTTGCTCAATACCAAGGCCACTATTAAAGTATTCACATCCTCGGCATGTAAATCGTTAAGTTTTTTAACCGTTAATTCGGAAATATTTTGCGAGGGTTTAAAAGACATTTTAAATTAAGTAAAAATTTTGATATTTATTAAGAAAAACAAACTTTACATTGAATTTAATATAAACAATGATAATTTACCGTTATTTTGTGATATTTTAAAAGAAAGAGTTGCCATATTTAAGAATTTATGTTAAACGGTTGTCAAGGGCTACACTAAACAAAATTTCTATATTGATTAAACAAATTGCTGGAAGAAACTTTAAATTCTTTAAAGTTTTAACAAAATTGTTGTTAAATTTTCAAATTTCCATTATGGATTATACCTATAAAAAGAAAGACGTTATTTTGGTGCTCCGGTTACCTTTGGCAATAAGGATGAGGTTATATTTACGGAAAATTCCAATCGTGAATTGGTTAAAAATTATATCTTAAAAAATCCAGTAGATCGTGATACCCAATATGCCAATCAAATGTCTTTAAGTGTGGCCAATACGGAGAGAGCCACTTATAAACATGTGGGCATAACCCATAATGAGGGCGGTTGGCCCAAAGATATAAATATGCATGATCCCGAACAGACGGTACGCTATAAAAGAAAAATCGAAAAAGATGAGAATTATATAACCCAAGTGATGAATTTGTGTAAACCCATGGAACAGTATATCTATCAAAATAATGCTGTTAATATTTATGAAAACTATTTTGATGAATTAGAGCCAGCTCCTTTACCGGAACCCTGTCGTTCGAGAACGGTTAATGTTTATCGCGATCCTAACCCTATAAAAGTGCCGGTAACACATTTGTCCTGGTCTCCGGATGGTGGCATAAAAATGGCTGTCAGTCATTGTGATATGAAATTTCAGGGTGATAAAACCGGACAGAAATGCAATTCCTATATATGGGAAGTAGAAAATCCCAATGAACCCTATTTGACTTTGGAACCCAAAGTACCCTGTGTTTGTTTGGAATACAATCAAAAAGATCCTACCAGTTTGGTTAGTGGCATGTATAATGGCCAGGTGGCTGCTTGGGATACCAGACATGGCAAATATCCCGTAATGATTAGTGAGCGAGAAGTGTGTCATCGTGAACCGGTAAATTCGGTTCTTTGGAATAATTCTAAAAGTGGTACGGAATTCTTTTCCGGTGGTTCAGATGGCCAAGTTTTATGGTGGGATACACGCAAATTAAATGAGCCATTAGATCGTTTACTTATGGATCCGGTTAAAAGTGATGAACAAGATTTATCAAGATCGTATGGAGTTTCGGTATTGGAATATGAAACTACTATTCCCACACGATTTATGGCGGGCACAGAAATGGGCATGTTGTTTGGCTGTAATAGAAAGGGGAAAACGCCTTTGGAGAAGATACAAATAAGGGTAAGAAGTTAAATATTACAATATATATAGACCTATTTTTCACTATAAAATGGATTATGGAATAGACTATAAGCCGGACTTTCGGATTCGGCTAGTGAATAATATTTATGTTTTTAACTTTCCAGATGATGTGCCATCTCGGTCCAGTTTATGCCATTATGCGTAATCCGGCCTTTGTTAAAAACTTTCTAACGGTGGGTGATTGGTGTGCGCGCATATGGTCGGAAGATTGTCGAGAAAGTTCTATTATTTGGACCAAAAGTAGCAGTGCCATGTTAACCGATGGAGCCTGGAGTTATACTAAGTCAATTTTAAAGAAAACTTTATGAAACATACAAAATTTTAACAAAAACTTATTTCTTAGGGTCTCCCAATTCTTTATTACCCGCATGGATGGTGTTTTGGATACCTGGGATCTATTGCAACAGCAAAATGAACCCGTTTTAACGGTTAAGGTGTGTGATGAACCTTTATACTGTGTACGCACCAATGAAAATGGTAAATTTGTAAGTTGTGGCAGTAAATTGGGAGCAACATTTCTTATCGAAGTTTCCGAGAATATGGTGACTTCTAATAAGAATGATAAGCCTTTATTAACAGCAGTAAGTTTAAAATATTTATGATAATAAGAATTTTTTTTCTAATTTTACTTTCTTAAAGATGTTTGAACGTGAAAATCGTCGGGAGAAAATCTTGGAAGCTAAATCTCGTGAGATTAAACTTAAGGTTAAAACAAACCAGGGCCAGGATCAGGGTGATATGACCATGCTAAATGGTAAAGTTAATATAGCACCCTTTAAAAGTGCCTGTGAACAGGCGGAGGCAGAATATTTTGCAGCCGTGGAGCAGGAACGTTTAAGACGCATACCCGGCAACAAGCGTAGGTGAAAAATTAAGGGATTTTTTATTTATATTTTAAATTTATTTAAAAAATGTTGTTTTTCTTTTCAATTACAGAGGACTTGGACGAAACTGAAGTCTCGGAGGCAGAGAACAGTGTTAAAGTTTAGTTTAATATTGGAAAGTTATTAAGTTTTATTACAAAGTTTTAATAGTGTAAAATTGTAGTAAATAGTGTTAAAATTTTAGTGTGATTAAAAAGTTTTATTAAAAATTTATGGAGAAGTGTCTTACAGTTCAAAATTTGCACACCAATTTCGGTTTCGTTTCTTTAAACACAAACGTTATTGCATTTAATGCCTATAGCTACTTTTAAAATTATTTATATTAAAATAGTTGTTAATTTTTGAACAGAAGACCTAATTTCCTTTAAATTAATATATAACATGTCTATTCCATCTTCTCCATGGTTCAAATTGAATTAGAAATACAAAAAAGTTAACGTATACTATTGTTTATATACCAGAGGTGTTCCACTTTGAGGGCTTCTAAACCCGCTCTGGAAAGATTTATGGGATCAATAATGAAAACATTCAATTTGATTATATATCTTCTCTATTATTGAGAAATTTTAGTAAAATCGGTTTTATAAGTTAGAAATTATAGATAAAGTTCCAATTGTTTATAGATATCCTCTAATGATGTCAAATAATTGATGATAACACAGTTAATGATAACACTGTTGTTGATAACATTTAAATTGTTCTCACTGTTATTGATAATACAGGTTGTAATAATGCAGTTTTAACAAACATTATCTTCTAAAACTCTATTTACTAACAAATATCGACAATAAAATATTAAATAATCAAGATTATAACATCAATTTATATTTTTAATTAATTAATTTTTTATGTTAATTATTTAAAATTTCTAAAAAAAAACTAAATAATTACAACACTGTGTTATCTTTATTTACATTTACAAAAACAAAAGTTTTACCACACTAGTCTTTACCCAAAAACACTTTCCAACACTTGCAATGGCTTCATTTTGTTGTGATTTTCTCTTCAGCTGTCATTCGTTTAATTTTTTTCCTCGAACTTAGTAAAGAAAAATGCAGTGCTAGTTGTTTTTTATAATTTTAATTATTTATAACAATTTATTTACAACGAATTTAATAAAAATTATAAATTTATTATTTAATTTAAAGAAATAATATAAAATACTTAAAAAAATATCTAAAATAAAACATAAAAATTGTAAAAGAAAAAAATGTCTTCTTCAGGAGTAAGAAAAATTTTCGTAAAAAACAACAGCTGCCCTTTTTTGTAATAAAGCACGTAAAAAAAGAAGAGTAAAATTTAATTACATGACAAGAACAAAAAGAGCAAGATAAATATTTAACCAAAAAAGGAACACCCTTTTTTAAGCAATAATAATAATAAATAAACAAAACAATTGACAAATATGGTGTTAAAGTAAATTTAATAATAAAAGTTAAAATAATTTTATTAAGTTTTTTATTTTTGTCATTTTTTAATGATGTCATAAAAAAGTTTAAGTGTGTGTGTTAAAAAAACTGTAAATTGTTTAATTGTTATGTTGTTGGTGGTGTCATCATGGGTCAAGCTGGCTTGATTATTATTTAAATTTTACTTTAAGTTTTAAAAGGATTTCTTTAATAAGAGGTAAGTTTTTGTTTAGTTTTTTATATTTAGTTATTAAGTTAAGTTTTCTTTTTCAAAAGATTTCTTTGTTGTGATGGCATTTTCTTTTCATTAAAATGCGTTTTTTCTTCATCTGCGTTTCTTTCAATAAGCATTTTCTTTTAGTGTTGGTAAACGTTTTTATATAGGGGTTTATTTACATTTTGCTAGGAACAGTGTTTTAGATGTGTAAAAATTGGCTTTTAATTGGGAAATGTAAATAAAATGTTTATATTTTAATAAATTGTAAACTTTTTGGATTAAAATATAAAAAATGCTTTTAATGTAAATTGTTTTTAGGAAATCTATTGTAATTCTTTAATTTTTTAAACAAATATTAACAGGATTTCCATTTTGTTTAATTATTTGGACTAGACTATATACTACACTAAAAACTAGACTATATACTAGACCATAGACTAGACTATAGATTAGACTATAGACTAGGCTATAGATTAGACTATAGACTTGACAATATACTTGACTTTAGACTAGATTGTAGTCTAAACTGTAGACTAGACTATAGACAAAACTATATACAAAACTATATACAAGAATATAGACTACACTATAGACTAGACTGTAGACTATAGACTAGACTTTAGATTAGATTATATACTAGACTGTTTACTAAACTATAGACTAGACTGTAGATTAGACTATATTCTAGACTATGTACTCGACTAGAGACTAGACTTTGTATTAGACTATAGACTAGACTATAGTATACAATAACTATACTAAAATTCATAATGATCAAGACGTAGACATCTTAAATCTTAAATTGAAGGTTTCCGAATAAAAATCGAAGAACCACGGGAACTGCAACTTTTGAAATTGGCTTAAAAAGCAATTTAACATCGAAATTGTGAAAATTGTGAATAAAACTGTTCAAAATTTAAAAAAATAGATAAAAACAATAAAAATTTAAGGATTTTTGTAAAGATTCAAAAAAATTATAATAACTGCTGCCGGCTGCTAAGTAATCTAGCTAAAACCATTGAAAAATCTTTTGAGTTTCGGACTAAATTGAAAGTTTAAGTATTTTGTTTAAAATACTTGATTGTGATACTAATTACTGCCTGCTGCTGTGTATTTACGCCTCTAAAACAAAATCATTAAATAAACTTTGAGGTTATGTTACAAATTTTTAAGGTTATGGGTAAAATTTGTTTATTTTTTCTTAATTTAATGGTTAAGGGTTTTAGTTTACTTTAAAATACTTTTAAAAAATACCAATAAAACAATGCATGTATATAAAACTAACAACTTTTAAAAACAAATTAATCTCTAAAAGCTTAAATGCTTTACATTATTTTATTTCTAGGGACCAAAACATAGAGAGACTTATAAGAAAAGGATGGGAAACAAAAAGCTGGGAATTATAAAAAACAAAAATTTCAAAGATTTTTTTACACATTAAACTTAAAAACTTTTCAAATAGAAATTTCCCAAACACATGCATTTAAAGTCTGTTTATGAAAAGCCAAGTTCTAAATATTTCCAAAACAATATGGCTAGTAGTTTATTAAATGATGATGAGGATAATGCCACACGTAATACACAGCAGCAGCAGCAACAACAACAACAGCAACAGCATAATAATAATAACTTAAACGAAACTTCCTCTAACGGCCCTAATAACAATAACAAAATGCAGGATACAGAAGCAAAATTGAAAAAACAAAATTTGGAACAAAGAAACAAGAACTGGAACAATTGCTCAATGAAAAAGTTGGCTTTTACAACAATTACAAAAGCAAGAAAGTCAAATATTAAATGGCAATTTTGAATATATGAATTTTAATGATTTCATACAAAATCTAGCCGTACAATATAAACAAGAACAAACTACACAACAAACAAATAACATAATAATGGCGATAATGTTTCCTCTCTTAGTGGAACGGGTTCTAATCATTTATCTAATGTGGAAGAGGCAATCTTAAGACGTAAGCCTTTAACGTCTAAAGAAAATCATCAAAATAACAATAATAATGTTATGCATCGCAGACAATCGGAGATCTCTAATAGATCTTCAGAATATGATAATTATCCTCAACAGGATAATCATTCTACCCATTCAGAGGGTACTAGAGGTGGTGTGGTAATGCATGGGGCGGCCCAGGCTACTCAGCAATATGCTGCGAAGGCTGCTTTAAAGAAAAGATCTGCCACAGTGGCCGGCACTACAGCACAATCCTCTACCAATTTGCAAATGATTAGGCAGCAGCATTTGGAGCAACAACAGCAACAATTGTTATATAAACAACAACAGCAGCAACAGCAACACTATCATCATCCTCAACAGCATTTGTTTAAGCCTCATGTAGATCATCATCAGGTATTAATGCCACATTTACAATATGCCACCCAAAAGTTTTACTATACCACACTGCAGCCACAAACGAATTCAACCGCAGCAGCATCACAACAAACCCAACAACTTGCAACACAGCCACCGACACACCAGCAACAACAGCAGCCTCAATATGGACGTTATATACAAAACAAACAAATTGCCCAACAGCAGACTCTACACCACAATCATGCGCCACAACAGCAACAACTCCTGTTAACACCACCCTCCGGCTCTACAATAACCATAGACAATATTTCTTTATACTCTTTAAACTCCAATAATGTGGCCACTTTACATCGTCCGGCCCAGCAGCAACAGCCCATTATTGTACAATGTGATAAATACTATTTATCACCCACTTCCCATCATGTCTCCCATAATGATGGTGCCGGTTTTATAAAATCATCACAAAATATTAAGGAATACATTTCACCCATTAATTCGCCACAACATTTATCCATCAGGGATAAAAATCGTGCACAAACATCACACCCTAACTTAGCACCTAGGGGAGCTACTCCGGCTTTAGATATTATATCGCTAGCTCCTTCCTATGTGTCCATGGAAACTATAGACTATGAACTGGCCCCAGTAGGCTCTAATATGAGATGGAGATCACAAACAAATTTGCCTCCCTCTGTAAACTCTAACACACAGTGTGAAATTAAATCCCAATCTAGCGATATGTTAAATAATAATCAGTACTATAATACCGCCCTAAATCCACCACCTCCTCCGCCTAATCCTCCTTTATTAGTAACACAAAATTCCAACTTAATACCACCGCCCAATGTTACCCAAGTTAAACCATTTAAACCTTTAGATGATATATCCACCTACAGTAATGATTCGCACAAAAAAATAAAACCCAAACAATGGTTAGAATCTTCTTTAGATGGTCCTGTTATTAGGCAAACTCCCTCTCAGGAGGAAGCTTGCTCTACTTCCTCTTTTTCCTCTAATAATAACAATAGTCAAGCACGTTCCAAACTTTCTTCACAATCTTTAAACACCTCCCGTCACTATTCTATGTCGTCGGCTCAATGTAAACCTCCACAACAACAACAGAATCCCTCTAACACCCATCATCACAACAAACTAAGTCAATCTACTTCTTATCTAAATCAATTAGATTTTGCTAATGCTAATAACACCCCCACCATCCTACCCACACCCTCTATATCCCAGGCTTATAATCTGGAATTATCACCTCAACCTTCTGCAGCTTATAAGTATATGCCTGCTCCCATACAGCCAGCAGCAGCACAGCCTGCAGCTGCTAACAGAATTCCTCCCTCTGCTTTATATGTCAATACTTCCAATACAAATCTAGTGCAGTCTGCTACCCCTACCCCACCCCTAGCAGCCGCCTTATCTCCTGATATACGCATAGAATCCCCGGTTAATATGACTGTGGTTCAGCCAGCCACTTTTCAACCTTATAAAGAGGTTACCAAACCTTTTGAAATGTCTGATTTCTATAAATATTCCACCAAGTTTAGGCAAAAGGAAAATAATAATGGTGAGAATTAGAAAGTTAATTTAGGGTAAAAAATAAACTTTTTAAACATTTTTGGAAAAAAATACAAAAAAGCTTTTTAGCAAAAGTGCTAAAAGTTTATTTTTTGAGTTTTAGAAAAAATATTCATAACAAAATTTTTTGAAAAAGCTTTTTATACAAGAGCTAAGAAAAGCTTTTTTATGAAAAAGCTAAAAAAGCCTTTTTATACAAAAGCTTAAAAAAGCTTTTTGATAAAAAAAATCTAAAAAAAGCTTTTAAACTTTTTTAAGCTCTTTTATACAAAACTTTAAAAAAGGTTTTTTATACAAAAGCTTTTTAATACAAAAGCTAAAAAAGCTTTTTTATACAAAAGCTTAAAAAAGCTTTTTTATACAAAAGCTAAAAAAAGCTTTTTTATACAAAAGCTTAAAAAAGCTTTTTTATACAAAGCTAAAAAAAGCTTTTTTATACAAAAGCTTAAAAAGCTTTTAAACTTTTTTATAACAAATTTTTTTAAGCTCTTTTATGCAAAAGCTTAAAAATGCTTCTTTATACAATAGCCCTAATAAGCTTATTTATCCAAAAGCTTAAAAAAGCTTTTTTTCATTTAAAAGTTTTTCTATTTTGTAAGTATTTTTTTCATAAAAAAGCTTAAAAAACTTTATTTCATAGAAAAGCTTTTTCATAGAAAATGTTAAAAAGCTTTTTCATAGAAGAGCTTAAAAAGTTTTTTTTTTAAATTTAAAACTTTTTGAAAATTTGTCCAAAAAATTATAGAAATCTTTTCATAAAAAACCCTTTTCATAGAAAAACTTAAAAAAGCTTTTTTTGATATAACAGCTTAACAAGCTTTTTCATAGAAAAGCTTTTTTAAAAATTTGTCCAAAAAATTTTATAAAAAAGCATTTTTAATTTAATTGAAAGCTTTATTGTATCCAAAAAAATGTTTTTTTTTTTTAAGTTTTTTTTTATCATAAAAAACTTTTTTATAGAAAAGCTTAAAAAAGCTTTTTTTCATAAAAAAGCTTTGGTTAAAACTTTTTAAAAATGTATCCAAAAAATTATAGAATTTTTGTAAGAACAAGCTTTTTTCAAAGAAGAGCTTATGGCTTTTCATAAAAAAGCTTTATAAAATCCATAAAAAAGTTTCTTATATAAAAGCTTTTATCATAAGAAAATTAAAAGCTTTTTTCATAGAAAAGCTTAAAAAATCTTTTTTCATAGAAGAGCTTAAAAAGCTTTTGCATAGAAAAGCTTTTATCATAAGAAAATGAAAAGCTTTCTTTTTAGAAAGCTTAAAAAAGCTTTTTTTATAGAAAAGCTTGAAAAAGTTTTTTTCATAGAAAAGCTTAAAAAGCTTTTTAATAGAAAAGCTTAAAAAGCTTTTTTTCATAGAAAAGCTTAAGAAAAGCTTTTATCATAAGAAAATTAAAAGCTTTTTTCATAGAAAAGCCTAAAAAGGATTTTTTCATAGAAAAACTTAAAAAGCTTTTTTTGACATTTAAAACTTTTAAAGTTTTTTCCAAAATGTTTAGAAATGCTTATTACTACATCCATTAAAAAGTTTTTTTTTTGTAAAAAAGTTTTTTTTCAAAAATTTATAGAAAGCTTTCTTATTAAAAAAGCTTTTATTTATTAAAATATTGCTTTCCATTAACAATTTTAGCCAAAAAACTTGTTATGAGGGAAAAAAGATGGAGAAAAATAAAAAAAATATTAAAGCTTTGAAAAAAGTTTTTGTTTTAATAAGGGAATAGAGGTTTTTATAGTAATTATATCAGAAGGTTTTTGTATTTTACTTTTAATTGTGTAAATTTCAATTAAACAAGTAAATTAACAATAATTTTATTAACAATTCTAATACAATTCAACTTGTTAAATTAGATTTTAACAAAATTTGAAAGAAAAAACATTAAAAAAATGCAATAAGTATGAAAAATTGCAATTTAAGTTTTAAAACAATTAAGAAAAAAACACCAAAACATTCTAAGAAAAAAAAAACCAGTGATATTTAATAAAATATCATTTATTTTAATTTTCAATTATTAAACTTTTTTATAATTTAAAAACTATTTTAAAACATAATTTACAAATTTTAATTAGAAGTTATTTTAAACTGTGGAAGTAAATGTGTTTATTTAAATAATAACAGATTCTTGCATTTCATTTATAATTATAATTTTAAATAACAAAATAATTTGTTTATTATTATTTTTAATATTTTAAAAAAAATTTGTGTAGCTATTCATTTTTTTATTATAAATTATTAAACATTTAATTAAACTTAACCTTAACATAATATTATACACTATAACTTGACAATCAAATTGTAATTAACAATATAAATTAAATTTTTAACATAAATTGTTATAAAATATTTGTTTGAAAATAACTTTTAAAAGAAACAACCAGTGTCTTAACTAAAAAAAAAAAAAAACAAAACTTATAAAGGAATTTGAATATTATTCAAATAATCCTCAATAAAATAAACAATTTGCCTTAAAAATGTAGTTATTTTAACTCATTAAAAACGTAACAAAACTAACAATAATTTATGTCTTTTTTAATAATATATTTGAAAATCTAATGCTCAAATTTATTGCCAAAATATTTGTTTTTTTTTTATATAGAAATTTATTCTTTTTTTATAGTAGATTAAAAATAAAATATAAAATTTATATACAAGATTTTAACTTAAGTATTTAATATTTTTATAAATTTTTACATTTTCACATAAAATAGCTAAATTTTTTATAGTAAATAGTTGCTTCTACTATAAAATATTTAAGAGTTTTTTTTTTAACATTTTTATTTTAAATAAACAAATAAATAATTATTATTAAAAACTATAAGGATTTTTATTCATAATTTTAAGTCAACATTTTTGGATTTCTCAACTAGAACAGAACTAAAACAAACTAGAACAGAACTAGAACAGAACTAGAACAGAACTAGAACAGAACTAGAACAGAACTAGAACAGAACTAGAACAGAACTAGAACAGAACTAGAACAGAACTAGAACAGAATAAACTCGAACAGAACTAGAACAGAACTAGAAAAGAACAGAAACAGAACTAGAACAGAACTAGAACAGAACTAGAACAGAACTAGAACAGAACTAGAACAACTGAACAGAACTAGAACAGAACTAGAACTGAACTAGAACAGAACTAGAACTGAACTAGAACTGAACTAGAACAGAACTAGATCTAGAACAGAACTAGAACTGAACTAGAACAGAACTAGAACTGAACTAGAACAGAACTAGAACAGAACTAGAACAGACTAGAACAGAACTTGAACAGAACTAGAACAGAACTAGAACAGAACTAGATCAGAACTAGAACAGAACTAGAACAGAACTAGAACAGAACTAGAACAGAACTAGAACAGCACTAGAACTGAACTAGAACAGAACTAGATTCAGAACTAGAACTGAACTAGAACAGAACTAGAACAGAACTAGAACAGAACTAGAACAGAACTAGAACAGAACTAGAACTGAACTAGAACAGAACTAGAACTGAACTAGAACAGAACTAGAACTGAACTAGAACAGAACTAGAACTGAACTAGAACAGAACTAGAACTGAACTAGAACTAACTAGAACAGAACTAGAACTGAACTAGAACTGAACTAGAACTGGACTAGAACTGAACTAGAACTGAACTAGAACTGAACTAGAACTGAACTAGAACTGGACTAGAACTGAACTAGAACTGAACTAGAACTGAACTAGAACTGAACTAGAACTGAACTAGAACTGAACTTGAACTGAACTAGAACTGAATTAGAACTGAACTAGAACTGAACTAGAACTGAACTAGAACTGAACTAGAACTGAACTAGAACTGAACTAGAACTGAACTAGAACTGAACTAGAACTGAACTAGAACTGAACTAGAACTGAACTAGAACTGAACTAGAACTGAACTAGAACTGAACTAGAACTGAACTAGAACTGAACTAGAACTGAACTAGAACTGAACTAGAACTGAACTAGAACTAGAACTGAACTAGAACTGAACTAGAATTAAACTAGAACTGAACTAGAACTGAACTAGAACTGAACTAGAACTGAACTAGAACTGAACTAGAACTGAACTAGAACTGAACTAGAACTGAAGTAGAACTGAACTAGAACTGAACTAGAACTGAACTAGAACTGAACTAGAACTGAACTAGAACTGAACTAGAACTGAACTAGAACTGAACTAGAACTGAACTAGAACTGAACTAGAACTGAACTAGAACTGAACTAGAACTGAACTAGAACTGAACTGAACTAGAACTGAACTGAACTAGAACTGAACTAGAACTGAACTAGAACTGAACTGAACTAGAACTGAACTAGAACTGAACTAGAACTGAACTAGAACTGAACTAGAACTGAACTAGAACTGAACTAGAACTGAACTGAATTAGAACTGAAATAGAACTGAACTGAACTAGAACTGAACTAGAACTGAACTAGAACTGAACTAGAACTGAACTAGAACTGAACTAGAACTGAACTAGAACTGAACTAGAACTGAACTAGAACTGAACTAGAACTGAAACTAGAACTTGAACTAGAACCTGAACTTAGAACTGAACTAGAACTGGAACTAGAACTGAACTAGAACGGAACTAGAAGGAAACTAGAACTTGAAACTAGAACTGAACGGAACTATAAACTGAACTGAACTAGAATAACTGAACTAGAACTAGAACTGAACTGACTAGAACTGAAGCTAGAACTGAACTAAAAACTGAACTAGAACTGAACTAGAACTACACATTTTGCCTTTATTTTTAGTTATTTTTATGTTATAATAACTTAAACTTTATTGCTGAGTCTGTTACTGTTTTTTGTTAAATAGTCTCCTTCAAAAATCATATTACTTTCTAAAAGCCCAGGAATTTTAATTATTTATTTTGTATTAATCCCCAAAAATTCCAACTTTGTCATTTCTTATTTTTCACATTTCCCCATAAAAATAATTTTGTCCAAAAAATTCTTAAACGGTGTAATTATCGAAGATGATTTCATTTTTCCGTTGATATTTGAAGT